CCACAGCCGGGGTCCTGGCCCAGCGGCCACACCACCTGTTCCTTCTGGACCACCCGTCCGGGCTGAGCTCCTGCAGATATGTCCCCCCGTCCGTCTGTCCGTCCGCAGTCTCCCTGTCCCGTCCACTGTCTCCTGGTCTGTTGTCCCCCCATCTGTCTGTCCGCTGTCTCCCGTCCGTCTGCAGTCTGTCCCCGTCACAGCTCCGTGGCGGCCCCGGCCCGCGCTGAAGGGACAGGCGCCTCCTGACCCCCCTGAGCTGCTGGTCGGACAGAACCGCCAGATGTTCCTGAAGGCGGGCTGCTCCATAAGCTCCCGCTGCCCCCTCTGTGCTCCCCGCTGCCCCCTCTGTGCTCCCCGCTGCCCCCTCCGTGCTCCCGCTGCCCCCTCTGTGCTCCCGCTGCCCCCTCTGTGCTCCCCGCTGCCCCCTCTGTGCTCCCGCTGCCCCCTCTGTGCTCCCCGCTGCCCCCTCTGTGCTCCCCGCTGCCCGCTGCCCCCTCTGTGCTCCCCGCTGCCCCCTCTGTGCTCCCCGCTGCTCCCTCTGTGCTCCCGCTGCCCCCTCTGTGCTCCCCGCTCCCCGCTCCCCGCTGCCCCCTCTGTGCTCCCCGCTCCCCCCTCTGTGCTCCCCGCTCCCCCCTCTGTGCTCCCGCTGCCCCCTCTGTGCTCCCCGCTCCCCCCTCTGTGCTCCCACTGCCCCGTCTGTGCTCCCCGCTGCCCCCTCTGTGCTCCCCGCTGCCCCCTCTGTGCTCCCCGCTGCTCCCTCTGTGCTCCTGCTGCCCCCTCTGTGCTCCCCGCCGCCCCCTCTGTGCTCCCGCCGCCCCCTCTGTGCTCCCCGCCGCCCCCTCTGTGCTCCCGCTGCCCCCTCTGTGCTCCCCGCTCCCCGCTGCCCCCTCTGTGCTCCCCGCTCCCCCCTCTGTGCTCCCCGCTCCCCCCTCTGTGCTCCCGCTGCCCCCTCTGTGCTCCCCGCTCCCCCCTCTGTGCTCCCCGCCGCCCCCTCTGTGCTCCCGCCGCCCCCTCTGTGCTCCCCGCCGCCCCCTCTGTGCTCCCGCTGCCCCCTCTGTGCTCCCCGCTCCCCGCTCCCCGCTGCCCCCTCTGTGCTCCCCGCTCCCCCCTCTGTGCTCCCCGCTCCCCCCTCTGTGCTCCCGCTGCCCCCTCTGTGCTCCCCGCTCCCCCCTCTGTGCTCCCGCTGCCCCCTCTGTGCTCCCCGCTGCTCCCTCTGTGCTCCCCGCTGCCCCCTCTGTGCTCCCCGCTGCTCCCTCTGTGCTCCTGCTGCCCCCTCTGTGCTCCCCGCTGCCCCCTCTGTGCTCCCGCCGCCCCCTCTGTGCTCCTGCTGCCCCCTCCGTGCTCCCGCTGCCCCCTCTGTGCTCCCGCCGCCCCCTCCGTGCTCCCGCCGCCCCCTCCGTGCTCCCGCCGCCCCCTTCGTGCTCCTGCTGCCCCCTCTGTGCTCCCCGCTGCCCCCTCCGTGCTCCCCGCTGCTCCCTCTGTGCTCCTGCTGCCCCCTCTGTGCCCCCCGCCGCCCCCTCTGTGCTCCCGCCGCCCCCTCCGTGCTCCCGCCGCCCCCTCTGTGCTCCCGCCGCCCCTCTGTGCTCCCCGCTGCTCCCTCTGTGCTCCCGCCGCCCCCTCCGTGCTCCCGCCGCCCCCTCCGTGCTCCCGCCGCCCCCTCTGTGCTCCCCGCCGCCCCCTCTGTGCTCCCGCCGCCCCCTCCGTGCTCCTGCCGCCCCCTCTGTGCTCCCGCCGCCCCCTCTGTGCTCCCCGCCGCCCCCTCTGTGCTCCCGCCGCCCCCTCCGTGCTCCCGCCGCCCCCTCCGTGCTCCCGCCGCCCCCTCCGTGCTCCCGCCGCCCCCTTCGTGCTCCCGCCGCCCCCTCTGTGCTCCCGCCGCCCCCTCCGTGCTCCCGCCGCCCCCTTCGTGCTCCCGCCGCCCCCTCCGTGCTCCCGCCGCCCCCTTCGTGCTCCCGCCGCCCCCTCTGTGCTCCCGCCGCCCCCTCCGTGCTCCCGCCGCCCCCTCTGTGCTCCCGCCGCCCCCTCTGTGCTCCCCGCCGCGCCCTCTGTGCTCCCGCCGCCCCCTCCGTGCTCCCGCCGCCCCCTCTGTGCTCCCGCCGCCCCCTCCGTGCTCCCGCCGCCCCCTCTGTTCTCCCGCCGCCCCCTGTGCTCCCGCTGCCCCCTCTGTGCTCCCCGCCGCCCCCTCCGTGCTCCCGCCGCCCCCTGTGCTCCCGCCGCCCCCTCTGTGCTCCTGCTGCCCCCTCCGTGCTCCCGCCGCCCCCTCCGTGCTCCCGCTGCCCCCTCCGTGCTCCCGCCGCCCCCTCTGTGCTCCCGCCGCCCCCTCCGTGCTCCCGCCGCCCCCTCCGTGCTCCCGCCGCCCCCTCTGTGCTCTCGCCGCCCCCTCCGTGCTCCCGCCGCCCCCTCCGTGCTGCCCGCCGCCCCCTCCGTGCTCCCGCTGCCCCCTCCGTGCTCCCGCTGACCCTCTGTTCTCCCGCTGCCCCTCCGTGCTGCCCGCCGCCCCCTCCGTGCTGCCCGCCGCCCCCTCCGTGCTCCCGCTGCCCCCTCCGTGCTCCCGCTGACCCCTCTGTTCTCCCGCTGCCCCTCCGTGCTCCCGCCGCCCCCTCCGTGCTGCCCGCCGCCCCCTCCGTGCTCCCGCCGCCCCCTCTGTGCTCCTGCTGCCCCCTCCGTGCTCCCGCCGCCCCCTCTGTGCTCCCGCTGCCCCCTCTGTGCTCCCGCTGCCCCCTCCGTGCTCCCGCTGCCCCCTCTGTGCTCCCGCCGCCCCCTCTGTGCTCCCGCCGCCCCCTCTGTGCTCCCGCCGCCCCCTCTGTGCTCCCGCCGCCCCCTCCGTGCTCCCGCCGCCCCCTCTGTGCTCCCGCCGCCCCCTTCGTGCTCCCGCCGCCCCCTTCGTGCTCCCGCTGCCCCCTCTGTGCTCCCGCTGCGTCCTCTGTGCTCCCCGCTCCCCCCTCTGTGCTCCCGCCGCCCCCTCTGTGCTCCCGCCGCCCCCTCTGTGCTCCCCGCCGCCCCCTCTGTGCTCCCGCCGCCCCCTCTGTGCTCCTCGCTGCCCGCCGCCCCCTCCGTGCTCCCGCCGCCCCCTCTGTGCTCCCGCCGCCCCCTCTGTGCTCCCGCCGCCCCCTCTGTGCTCCCGCCGCCCCCTCTGTGCTCCCGCTGCCCCCTCTGTGCTCCCGCCGCCCGCCCGGGGAACGAAGCTCTGCTCTGTGACTCCCGCTCAGCCTGCAGCTGCGGCTGCTCACACCCCCTCGGGCTCAGACCAGGTGCGTTTCGGGTAAGCCAGGCCCCTGTCGTCAGCGAGGGGGTCTCCCCTCGAGGGGTGCTGACTGACGGTGCTGGGCGCTGGGGTGTCTGACCCGGGAGGGCCGGGCCTGGGGAGGGGCCGGGCCATCTCTAGGTCAAGTGCGAGCGGCCGTCCGCCGGGAGAGGAAGGAGCGGTGGAGCCCGCAGAGTGTGCGCAGGGTCAGGCCTCCCGGAGGATGTAAACAGGAAGGGCCTCGCTGGGCGGCGGCGGGCGGGCGGGGCGGACCGAGGGGGGACCCGGTCCGGGCGGACGGCGGGGGGACCGGCCCTGGGGGACAGCGGGGGACTGGTCCGGGGGGACGGGCAGTGGTGAGGGCAGGAGGAGAGGAACGGTAAGCGGGCGGGGCGGACGGCGGGAGGGCCTGGTCTGGGGTTCAGGGGGGGACTGGTTGGGGGGACGGGCAGTGGTGAGGGCAGGAGGAGCGGTAAGCGGGCGGGGCGGACGGCGGGAGGGCCTGGTTTGGGGGTTCAGGGGGGGACTGGTCGGGGGGGACGGGCAGTGGTGAGGGCAGAAGGAGAGGAGCGGGGGGCGGGGTCCCCTTCAGGGGCTCCAGGCGGAAGGGGGACCTCGGCTCCCGCCTTCTGGAACGCACTGGGGCCACGTCGGCCTGGACCCCGAGCGCGTCCCCAGCAGGTGGCGCTCCCACGCGCAGCAGGTGGACGTGGAGGGGACGGGGACTCGGGTTCGAAACGCAGGAGGGAAGTGATCTCCCCCACACCCCGCACCTCCCATCCGTGATTTCAGAGCGATGTGTTCACCCCGAGACCCTGCCCCGGCCGGAGACTGACCTCTGACCCAGGCCTTTAGCACAGTCTGCCCCCACCCATGCAGTGAGCAACCAGCGCCCCCTGGAGGACAAGCCAGTGTTCTTTTTTAAAAAGCACAGGTTTGTTATTGGTCCCTGAGAGGAAGGGAGAGAGAGAGGGAGGGAGAGAGAGGGAGAGAGAGAGGAAGAGAGAGAGGGAGAGAGGAAGAGAGAGAGAGAGAGAGAGAGGGAGAGAGAGAGGGAGAGAGAGGGAGAGAGAGAGAGAGAGAGGGGAGAGAGGGGGAGAGAGAGGGAGAGAGAGAGGGAGAGAGAGGCATCCGTGATGGGAGAGAAGCACTGACTGGCGGCTGCCTCTCGCACGCTCCCAGCTGGGATGGAGCCCACCCCGTGGGCATGCCGGGCCTGCAGTCGGACGGTGACCCTGGTGGGCGGGCAGCGAGTGTCGGAGGATGGGGCTGGGCCTGGCCTCCGGCGTGCTGGTGTGACGCGGACGGCGGTCCCCGAGTGAGCAGCCTGGGACCCGTGAGGCCGTGTCCGAGGCTCCGGCCCCCGGTGTGGATGGAGCCAGGGTGGGAGGCGAGGCCCCTCTGAGGTCCCGGGGCTGAGGCCAGCGCCCATGGACGGCTCTCTCGGCAGCAGCCGCTCCGGCCGCTCAGCTCTGCCTCCGGCTGGGTGCGGGGCCGGGGGCTCCCGTTACTCAGGGCCTCAGAGGGATGTGGGACCTGTGGGCCGGTGGCTCTCTCACCGTCTGGCCTTGACCGTCTCCATCCACACGGGGAAGGAACCGCCCACAGACCCACGCCGGGGCCTCTCTCCGGGAAACCTCTCGGAGCACCCCAGGGGGTCCCCGGAACCCCAGGGTCCGCGCAGGCCTCCGCCCCGCCCCCGCCCGTCTCCCCTCCGGGCTGCGGCCGGGAGACGCAGCCCCTGCCTGCCCTGGCTCAGGACGGGGAGGGTCTGACCACGCCTTCTCTCTGCAGACTGCTCGGCCATGACCACGGCGTGGGGCCCGCCCGCGTGGGACCTGGCCCTGGACCCGCTGGTGTCGTGCAAGCTGTGCCTGGGCGCGTACCCGCTGGAGCAGATGACCACGCTGGCCCAGTGCCGCTGTGTGTTCTGCACGCTGGTGGGTGCCGGCCTCGGGGGCGTCAGGTCTGCGTCCTGCCTGCACACCACGCCTGTAACGTGTGGCGTGTGTGTCTGCGTCTCGGTCTGTTGCAGTGCCTGAAGCAGTACGTGGAGCTCCTGATCAGAGAAGGATTCGCAACCACCATCAGCTGCCCCGATGCCGCCTGCCCGAAGCAGGGCCGCCTGCAGGAGCATGAGGCGCGAGCCGGGACCGCGGGGGCGGGGGTGCGGGGGGGGGGGGTGCGGGGATGTGTGTGTGTGAGTGTGATCAGCTTGTCACACGTCGTCCTGTGTTTTCTCCCTCAGATCGAGTGCATGGTGGCAGCTGAGATCATGCAGAGATATAAGAAGCTGCAGTTTGAGAGAGGTAGGTGCCCGGCTCTTCACACCAAACCTGCTGGGACACCGGAGCACTGAGCCAGGCGGCCGGGTCGGCGTCCCGCTGGCCGTGCGCGCCCTCAGGCTCCAGAGCCGGGGCTCCGTCCACGAGCTGTTTTGTTTGTTTTGCATAAAAACGGGCCGGTGTGAGGGTCAGACAGGCCTGTGGGGCCTGTGGGGCCTCGGCTGGGAAGCCTCGGCTCACGTGGCGTCCTGGCAAAGCCCGTGCGCTGGGCCGTCCTGGCGGGAGTGTGCCCGCCGGCACTGCTCACACGTCTCCGTGTCCGCGCTCCGACAGCGGCGACGAGCCGCCCAGGGGCCGGCTGGAGGGACGGCCTGAGCACACGGGCTCGCTGTTCCTGTGAGACGTGCTGTAAAACCTGCAGGGTGACCACACGTTCTCCCCGGAGCACTGTGAGCGCCGCCCTGTGACCCAGGAGGTCAGGCTCCATTCCCGGGTGTGTGCCCTGGCCGGGCTCCCTCCCCAGTGGGGCGAGCAGGAGGCAGCCGACCCATGACTCCTCTCCTCACTGATGTTCCTCTCCCTCCCTCTCCCTGCCTCTGTGAAGGCAGTAAACATATATGTATAAGTGAAATAAAACGAAGTAAGAACGTGAGGCTGGGTCTGGGGGAGGCCCCGCCCGCACGCCTGACCCGCCCCCTCACCCCCGTCCCTGTGTCAGAGGTGCTGCTGGACCCCTGCCGGACCTGGTGCCCGGTGTCCGCCTGCCAGGCCGTGTGCCCGCTCCCGGAGCTGGGGCTGCAGACGCCGCAGCCAGTGCGGTGCCAGGCCTGCGCCACGGAGTTCTGCTCCACCTGCAAGGCCAGCTGGCACCCCGGCCGGGGCTGCCCGGAGACCACGCCCATGGCCTTCCTCCCCGGGGACACCAGGTAGGTCCGACGCGGGGGGGGGGGGGGGGGGGGGGGAGGGAGTGGGGAAGACGCCCGGGAACACTGGTCTCTGCCCCCACTCCACCCCGCTCCTGGGACTCCTTATCAGCCCCCAAGCCTGGCTCCTGGCCTCCCTCTTTCGTGTAGTTTTATCTCGTTTACTAACAAGCGACCGGGTCCCTCTGGGGAAGCCCCGCGCCCAGCACAGCGGTCCGCCTGCCCCTGGGCCCTGCGGGCGGGCCCTGACCCTCCTTCTCCCGCAGTTCGGGGTTCAGGCCGGAGGAGGACGACGCACCCATCAAACGCTGCCCCAAGTGCAAGGTCTACATCGAGCGGGACGAAGGCTGTGCCCAGATGATGTGCAAGAACTGCAAGCACGCCTTCTGCTGGTACTGCCTGGAGTCCCTGGACGTGAGTGCCGCCCACTGCACACCGCCTGCCGCCCTCCGCCCGCTATCTGCCTGTCAGGGAGGGGAATCTGAGCATCCGGTGCGGGTCAAGGTCATGGGAAGGTGATCTGAGGTCAAGCTGGAGGTGAGAGCAGCAGGAGGGAGGCAGGGGCAGCCTGTGCCTGAGAGTCAGAGGCGCTGCTGCCCCCTCCTGGACAGCGGGAGACATTGCAGAGGCTGGTGCCTCGGGGGGCTGCTGTTGATGAGCTGAGAGCAGTACCACCCGGAGAGAGAGGTCTGCGCGGTGCAGGGGGTGGCCGGTGGGAGGGGAGCTCCTGCTGGGACGGAGACCGACAGAGGTGGAGGCTCCAGGGACGCTGCTGGGCCAGGGCAGGCGCGGCCTGGGGGGGCGGGGGCTCCTGCTGGGACGGAGACCGACAGAGGTGGAGGCTCCAGGGACGCTGCTGGGCCAGGGCAGGCGCGGCCTGGGGGGGCGGGGGGGGGGAGGTCGGAGCCTCTGGACACTGGATCAGACCCAGCATCACCGGTTCTCTCCTCCACCATCTGGAGCCACTCAGCAGGACCCCGTGGGTGGGTGTGCCGGGCGGGGCGGTCCCACTGCAGGTCCCACTGGCCAGGGCGTAAAGATGGGCACGGCGGACCAGGCTCTGCCCCCCTGATGCCCCCTGATGCCCCCTGATGCCCCTCTCCCCAGGACGACTTCCTGCTCATCCACTACGACAAGGGGCCATGCAGGAACAAGCTGGGTCACTCCCGGGCCTCCGTCATCTGGCACCGCACGCAGGTGGGCACGGCCAGACTCCCATCCTGGGGAGTGTGTGTGTGAGTGTGTGTGTGTGTGTGGTTAGGTGGGTGCATGCATGTGCATTTGTGCAGGAGGGTGTGTGTGTGTGCATGTGTATATGTGTGGGTGCGTGTGTGCATGTGTGTGTGGTGTGTGCATGTGTGTGTGGTGTGTGTGCGCGCACACATGCCTGCGTGTGAGCCTGTGTGAGTGTGCACCCGAATGTGTTCATATGTACGTGCAAGTGCACACAGGTGAACTCGATGGTCCCGCTGACGATTGCTCAAGAGCGCCCTCTGGCGCAGAACAGCGCCCTGCGTGTTTTCACGTTTTCCGGAATGTCTGTGAGCGCGTGATGGCGGCACACTGGTCAGAATTCACGGCGCACGGTCCCCCGTCGACATTGGGACCCGCTGGCAGAAAACGCCGACCTCGGCATGAGCCCAGCGTCCACTGCGGGTGCGTGTGGCGGCGTGCGTGCGTGGCGGCGTGCGTGTGTGACGGCGTGTGTGTGTGGCGGCATGTGTGTGTGTGTGGCGGCGTGTGTAACGGCGTGCGTGTGTGACGGCGTGCGTGTGTAACGGCGTGTGTGTGTGGCGGCATGTGTGTGTGTGTGGCGGCGTGTGTAACGGCGTGCGTGTGTGACGGCGTGCGTGTGTAACGGCGTGTGTGTGTGGCGGCATGTGTGTGTGTGTGGCGGCGTGTGTAACGGCGTGTGTGTGTGACGGCGTGCGTGTGTAACGGCGTGTGTGTGTGACGGCGTGTGTGTGTGGCGGCGTGTGTAACGGCGTGTGTGTGTGACGGCGTGTGTGTGTGGCGGCGTGCGTGTGTGGCGGCGTGCGTGTGTGGCGGCGTGCGTGTGTGGCGGCGTGCGTGTGTGTGTGGCGGCGTGTGTAACGGCGTGCGTGTGTGACGGCGTGCGTGTGTGGCGGCGTGTGTGTGTGGCGGCGTGCGTGTGTGTGTGGCGGCGTGCGTGTGTGGCGGCGTGTGTGTGTGGCGGCGTGCGTGTGTGTGTGGCGGCGTGCGTGTGTGGCGGCGTGCGTGTGTGGCGGCGTGCCTGTGTGACGGCGTGCGTGTGTGACGGCGTGTGTGTGTGACGGCGTGTGTGTGTGGCGGCGTGCGTGTGTGTGTGGCGGCGTGCGTGTGTGTGTGGCGGCGTGCGTGTGTGGCGGCGTGCGTGTGTGGCGGCGTGCCTGTGTGGCGGTGATGGCGTGTGCGTGTGTGTGTGGCGGCGTGCGTGTGTGTGTGGCGGCGTGCGTGTGTGGCGGCGTGCGTGTGTGGCGGCGTGCGTGTGTGGCGGCATGCGTGTGTGGCGGCGTGTGTGTGTGTGGCGGCGTGCCTGTGTGGCGGTGATGGCGTGTGCGTGTGTTACAGCGTGCCGTGCGTGTTGCAGGAAGCTAAGACACACACACTGGGGCGCTGGACATAACGCAGAGCCCCAGGGCTGCTCACAGTCCGAGACCTCTTACCTCCGTGTGTGTTTGACCGAGAAAACTCAGGCCCAGGTGCTGTGCGTTCGTGTGTTTCCCCCTCAGACCACGAGGTGGGGCTGTCACCCCATCTTCAGGTCTGTCCTGGCCGCTGGCTGCCTGGGAGGGAGGCGCCGAGGAAGGGGACCCCGGAAGCCAGTTTCCTGCTCCGCCCACCAGCCTCGCAGCCTGGTGTCCGCACCCGCGGCTGGACACTCAGCCTCCACTTGAACCTGGTTCCAATGCCAGGAACGGCACAGGCCGGCCACACCCCGGCACCTCGCTGCCTTCCCGTCTCCCGCCTGGAACGCCTTAGCCCAGCTGCTGCTGGTTACCGCCCGCTCCGCCCTTTGTGATCCAGCGTCTCTGGGGAAAGCCCTCCCTCTGCCCAGGCTCCCTTCACCAGGCCTGGCGGCAGCTTTGCTAAGGGCATTGTTACCGCTGATTGAACTGTGGGCTCTTCCCTCCAGACTGGCTGGCTGGCTGCTGCCGGAGGCCAGCCCCTAGCACAGGGTCTCGCTTGGGGCAAGCTTGTACATCATCCTGATGCATCAGTGATGGATGTTCGGGTGCTTAGATGGAGGGAGGGAGGGGAAGAGAAGTGAAGATAAAAAGAAAAGGAGAAATGGGAGGAAGAGTGAGGGGGAGAAATTGGGAAGGGCATAGGGATGTATGATGGTTAGATGAGTGGGATGATAGATGGATGGATGGATAAATGGATGATGGATAGCTAGATGAATGGGTGGAAGGATGGATGGATGGATGAATTGATGGATGGATGGAAGATGGGTGGGTGGAAGGACAGATAGAGGAGTGGGTGGAGATAAAAATGAATGAATGGGTGGATGTTATGGATAATGGATGGGTGGGGATGATGGATGGATGGATAAATGGGTGATGGATAGATAGATGAATGAGTGGAAGAATAGATGGATGGATGGATTGAAGGATGATGGCTGGATGGGTGGATGGAGGAAAGATAGCTGGATAGATGGATGGAGGAGGAGGTATGGGTGGGTGAGGGCTGGGTGGCTGGCTGTGTGGTCTATACTAGTGGTCGGCAAACCGTGGCTCTCGAGCCACATGCTGCTCTTTGGCCCCTTGAGTGTGGCTCTTCCACAAAATACCACAGCCTGGGCGAGTCTATTTTCAAGAGGTGGCATTAGAAGAAGTTTAAAAAACGTGGCTCTCAAAAGACATTTCAATTGTTGTACCGTTGACATTTGGCTCCGTGGACTGATGTTTGCCGACCGCGGGATTACACTGTAGTGTGGCCCCTCCAGACGCCCCCTGACCCTCCGCCCTGGCTTCCTCCCTGCAGGTCGTGGGCATCTTTGCGGGCTTCGGGCTCCTGCTCCTGGTGGCCTCGCCCTTCCTGCTGCTGGCCACGCCCTTCGTGCTCTGCTGCAAGTGCAAGTGCAGCAAAGGCGACGACGACCCGCTGCCCACCTAGAGCACAGGACGGGGACGCGGGAGGAGGCGTGCCTCGGAGGCCTGGCTCCGCCCGTCCCCTCATAAACGTCCTTCTTGCCTTACGCGCCCGTGAGCTTCGCCGTCACCGGTGCCGGGACTTCGGGGCCGATGTCCCCGTCTGCGGAGGCCCCGTGGCGTCCCGAGGCTGGACGGGGGCGGGGCTGGCTGCGGGCACATCCCCGCAGACTGGCCGGACGGCAGGTGCTGGAGAAGCACCGGGCCAGCTTCCTCCCCGTGGTGAGGGCCTGGGACCCTGGTCGCCTAGGAGACCTTCTCCTCCAAGTGTCCGTCTCTTCCTCGGCCTCAAGGGGGCAGCTCGCTCGCAGCCGAGACAAGTCCGGGTTCGACCGTCTTCACCCAGAATGCAACAGTCCCGCTGACGACAGCGGTCTTCGTCGCTAAGGCGTCTGGCGAGGCCCTTCCTTCCCGCAGAGCAGCGAGCGCCAGCCAGGTGCCTCCACGCCGCCCCACGCCTCTCGGACACGCGTGGTCGGAGGCTGTTGTGAAAGGATGTGCCCGGCCCGCCACTTCCCGGGAGACACGGGCAGCATCCCCCCACCCCCACCCTCGTGTCCCCGACGCCTGTAGGGCGGACGCAGATGCGGGGCCGGGCACCGCTGCGGACCTGCCCCTGGGCCGTGGCATCTCAGGTGTGGCCCTGGCCGGTGTGGCTCGGTGGACAGGGCACCAGCCCTTGGACTGCAGGGTCCCAGGTTCGATTCTGGTCGAGGGCAGGCACCTCGGTTGCAGGCTTGACCCCTGGGCAGGAGGCAGCCAGTCGATGTGTCCTCGGCTCTCCCTCTCCTCTCTGAGTGGATGGAGAAGTATTCCCGGGCGAGGATGGAGAGAGGAGGAGGTGTGTTTGCAGAGCAGCTGCGCCTCCTGCCCTTCCCTTGGCTGAGCCGGTTCCGCCCCGGCTCGCTCCCGGCAGCGGCAGGGGTTCCGGTCTTCAGAAACGAACCTCTTGGCTCGAGGGGTTTGGCGGGAAGCCCCTGTCCTCTGCCTTCCGGGGCCTTGGTCCTGGGCGGGGTCCCGGGGCCACTTCCCGGGTTTCGGGTTTTCCGGGACCTTGCCAGCCTGCAGACGCCCCGGTCCCCGGAGCCCCGGTCCTGATGCAGGCTGTGTGTGACTGTTGCCATGGCAGCAGCATGACCGATGAGACACACGTGGCCCCATAGAACGTTGGGAAGTGGGGAGTGTGTGTTCTTTACAGAGCATTGACGTTAACTTGGCTTCTACAGCCACGTGGGCTTTCATGGTTATTTTTTATTTTGTTAAATACATTTGTATTGGTGTCAGAGAGGAAGGGAGAGGGAGAGGGAAGCATCCATGCTGAGAAGCATGGATCAGCCGCCTCCTACCCGCCCCCCACTGGGGATGGAGCCCACAACCCAGGCCTGTGTCCTGACAGGAAGTCGGACCCTCACCTCCTGGTTCACAGGTTGATGCTCACGCCCTGAGCCCCGCCCGCCGGGTGAGCTGGTGCTTTTCAAGGGTCCACGGGTTGCATGGAACTTGGGCTCCACGGGAGGGCAGGTGCTGTGGCGTGGCCGCCGTGGAGGGTCAGCTGACGCCGTGGCCCAGCGGGGCTGAGTGGGGGCAGACCTGACTGCGACCCCAGGCGTGGGCTGTGGAGCCCGTTGGCTCGTAGCTGGCATCTCCCCGTGGACGTGGCGTTGGCTCCGGCCCCGGCCACGGCCCCGGCAGACATCCCTCCTGTGTGTGTCCGCGCTCCGGTGAGAGCGGGATCGCCGTGTCCCTCTGCTGCTCCTCTCCTTATGGACGGAGGCCACTGAGAGGCCCGCCCGTGACATCGCTCCGGGGATGCTGTCTGATCCTCAGGCACGACCGGGGCGGGCCTGGGCCGCCTCCCGGGCTGAGGCCGGCCGTGAGGGTGTGCAGGTCGGAGGGCGATGCTTTCTGAGGGGGCCTGGGTTCGAGGCCTCGTGGCGGGGTTTGTGATGGGCTCTCTCCAGCCGGGGCCCTTTGAGACCTGGCTGTGTGTCCCATCCTGCCAGGCCCACTGCCCTGTGGGCTCCGGGTGACCCTGTCCTCCAGTCGCTTCTTCCCGTGTATCCGTCTGTCCGTCTGGGGGCCCACGGCAGCCCCGCCCGGTGCCTTCCCGCTGACGGGCTCGCAGGCACGGGGCCGGGCCTGGGGAACCAGAGGCTGTGGGACGGCGGGAGCCAGAGGGCACCCCCTGCCCAGAGCGCCCGCACCAGCACCCTCACTCGCTGAGCGAGGACCAAACGGACCGCATGCTCCCCGACACCAGCCAGCCGCCGAGGCCCTCGGACCCATCTCCCCGCCCCGCCTGCCGCCCATCCCCGTGAAGGGGGGCGTCCTCCCCTCTGGGGGGGGGGGGACCTCCCTGTTCCCAGCACCCGTGTCTCCAGCAATGCCATTCCCCCCTCACCCCGGAGCACACGCCTGCCCGTCCATGTAGAGGCCTCTCCATCCTGGGGGAGGAGAGAGGGGGGTTAGGAGAACCACCCGGGCAGATGGAGGGCCCAGCAGACCCCGTGGCCTGACCCCTCTGGATCCGGCCGTGTGGGGAGGGGCCTGGCTCGGGGGGCTCTGTCCGGGGCACAGGCCGGCACCTGCAGGGGAGGGGTTACAGGGTCCCTGAGCGGAGGCCGCCTGGCTCTGATAGGCGGGGTTACCGGCCGGGGTCTGAGAGGAGGGGTTACGGGGTCCCCGGGCAGAACCTTCGCCAGCACAGACGCCCGTCCGGGTGGCTCGTCCTCAGCTCCCCAGTGGCCCCGGCCCCTGCTCCCCACTTCTGCACAAAGGGGAGCACGTTCTCCACCACACGCTGTCCCACACACCGGTCAGAGCCGCACCCCACTTCTGGTTCGAGGCCCAGGCTCCTGGGAAAGGGGTCCGATTTCGGAAACACAGACGAGGTGATCTTGGTTCACCCGCATCACAGAAGTTCAAGGTTATCCCACCTGACGGGGACGGCCCCCCTCGGCCGGCTGAAGGTGTCGCGGGTGGAGGACCAGGGAGAGCTGTGTGCTGCTCAGAGGCTCGGGGTGGGCACCCCCTGTGCTCACACGGGAAGGTAATGAAGGTCTCATTAAAAACGCCAAAGCTGGTTTATCCTTACCACGCCCCGAGCCCTGACAGAAGAAGATGAGGAGATTTGGGCTGCTGTTGCCAAAAACGCCCAATGGAGCCGGGCCGGCGTGGCAGGTGCATCGAGGCCCCGGCCCCTGGGTCTGTGCCACCCCGTGTGCCAGGAGCCTCCGGAGGGAGGGCCCTGCTGCCCGCCCGCCCGCCCCTCCGTCTTTGCTCACATCCCATGGGGTGTCAGTCCTGTGGAGAGCATGCAGCTCGGCTCCACACTTGGACACGTGGTGCATTGGACATGTCACGTGGTGTATCGGACACGTGGTGCATCGGACATGTGGTGCATCGGACACGTGACATATCAGACACGTGGTGCATTGGACATGTCACGTGGTGTGTCAGACACGTGGTGCATCGGACACGTGGTGCATCGGACACGTGGTGCATCGGACACGTGGTGCATCAGACACGGTGGTGACGCGGAACTACGCCATGTTTGTCCCTGAGACCTGTGCCACCAACACTGTGATGTACAGAGGACGCCCGGGTCCTTCCCCCGTATGTGTGCACCTTGGAGTCCTGCGGACAGAGTGATCTGTGATCTCAGTCATATCCCCATGTATGTATGGCGTCTTACCTGGTGTGTCTGTCCCCTTTGGAAGGGATTTCTTTTTAAAGGTATTTTGGCTGGAATACAGGTTCCTTTTGTAAATCCTGTCTGCCACTCTGTTCTTTGTGGGTGGCTGGCCTGGAGGCAGAAGTGGTGAGGGGGAGGGGAGACAGGCCTGGTGGGCGGGGCCTTACACCTGGTGGGCGGGGCTTAGGCCTGGTGGGTGGGCCTTAGGCCTGGTGGGTGGGGCTTAGGCCTAGGGGGATTGGGCGGGGCTGAGCTTAGACCTGGTGGGTGGGGCTTAGGCCTAGGGGGATTGGGTGGGGCGGGGCTTAGGTCTGGTGGGTGGGGCTTAGACCTGGTGAGTGTGGCTTAGAGACCTGGGAGGCGGGGCTTGAGGCCTGGTGGGTGGGGCTTATATCTGGGAGGTGGGGCCCTAGAGCTGGGGGGATTGGGTGGGGCGAGGCTTTAGGCCTAGTGGGTGGGGCTTAGAGACCTGGGAGGCGGGGCCTTAGACGGGGTGTGTGTGTGTGTGTGTGTGTGTGTGTGTGCGCGCGCGCGGCGCATACCCTGCGCGGGGCTGCAGGAAGGGGCGGAGGAACGTTGTCGGGATGTGGATTCGGAGTCGGTGACCGAGGCCAGGAGAACTGTGGGTCTCTGCCCATCGGAACCACGGTCCGCGAGAAGGCCCCCGCCGGCTCCTGAGACCGGTGTCCCGGCGCAGCTACCCCAGGGGGCCCGGGTGTAGGAGATGAGGAAGGCGGTGCTGCTGATGGCGAGGGGCAGGCAGAGGCCCAGGCGGAGCGCACACACCCCGTTAGGACCGGCCGCACAGACCGGGGGCGGGGCACCCATGGGGGCGGGGCACCCATAGGGGGCGGGGCATTCAGAAGGGGGCGGGGCTCCAGGGGGCGGGGAGGGCGGCTCCAGGGGGAGGGGGAGGGCGGGCAGGAAACGCTGGCCTGGGATGGAATGTGCGTGTGTGGGGGTGTGTGTGTGGGGGTGAGGGTGTGTGTGTGGGTGTGGGGGTGCGTGTGTGGGTGTGGGGGTGGGTGTGGGGGTGTGTGTGGGTGTGTGGGTGTGTGGGTGCGTGTGTGGGTGTGTGGGTGTGGGGTGGGTGTGGGTGTGTGGGTGTGGGGGTGTGTGTGTGGGGGTGTGTGTGGGTGTGGGGGTGTGTGTGGGTGTGGGGGTGTGTGTGGATGTGGGGTGTGTGTGGGTGTGGGGGTGTGTGTGGGTGTGGGTGCGTGTGTGTGTGGGTGTGGGGTGTGTGTGTGTGGGTGTGGGGTGTGTGTGTGTGGTGTGGGTGGGGGTGTGTGTGGGTGTGGGGGTGTGTGTGGGTGTGGGGGTGCGTGTGGGGGTGGGGGTGGGGGTGTGTGGGGTGGGGGGTGCGTGTGTGGGTGTGGGGGTGTGTGTGGATGTGGGGGTGTGTGTGGGTGTGGGGTGTCCATGTGGGTGTGGGAGTGTGTGTGGGTGTGGGGGTGTGTGTGGATGTGGGGGTGTGTGTGGGTGTGGGGGGTGTGTGTGTGTGGGTGTGGGGATGTGTGTGGGTGTGTGTGGGTGTGGGTGTGTGTGGGTGTGGGGATGTGTGTGGGTGTGTGTGGGTGTGGGTGTGTGGGTGTGTGTGTGTGGGTGTGTGTGGGTGTGGGTGTGTGTGGGTGTGGGTGTGTGTGGGTGTGGGGTGTCGGTGTGTGTGCGAGCGGGTGTGCGAGCAGGTGCCTCCGAGCGTTTCCCTGCCGCGCCTGACCCCCCGCGGCCACAGGTGCTGCTCCCTGGCGCCTCCCCGGCCGGCGGGGCCCTGGCCGCTGCAGCCCGGATGGAGGCAGGGCTGGGGGGCTCGGGGGGCAGCCTTGTGAGGAGGGCTGTGGGGTCAGAACTGTGGGGCAGGGCTGTGGGGGCTTTTGGGGGGCTGTGGGGTTAGGGCTGTGGGGCAGGGCTGTGGGGGCTTGTGGGGGGCTGTGGGGGGCAGGGCTGTGGGGGGCAGGGCTGTGGGGCAGGGCTGTGGGGGGCAGGGCTGTGGGGCTTGTGGGGGGCTGTGGGGGGCAGGGCTGTGGGGCTTGTGGGGGGCTGTGGGGGGCAGGGCTGTGGGGCAGGGCTGTGGGGGGCAGGGCTGTGGGGCAGGGCTGTGGGGGCTTGTGGGGGGCTGTGGGGCAGGGCTGTGGGGCTTGTGGGGGACTGTGGGGGGCAGGGCTGTGGGGGGCAGGGCTGTGGGGGGCAGGGCTGTGAGGGACTGTGGGTGGCAGGGCTGTGGGGAGGGCTGAATGGAGAGACACCCCCTTCCTCAGTCCACCGGGCTCGGAAGCCGCCCTGGGGCTCCTCCAGCCGCTCCAGGGCCGGGCGGCCGCTCTGCTGGTGGCTCTGCCCGCGGCCCCTGCAGCTCCGGCAGAAACAGACATTCCTCCGGCTTTGCCCCAAAGCCACACCCGCAGCGGGGCTCAGCGGCTGAGCACTGACCTGTGACCCAGGAGGTCAGGGTTCGACCCCCGGTCAGGGCACAGGCCGGGCTGTGGGCTCGATCCCCATTGGGGGCGTGCAGGAGGCAGCAGGTCCATGATTCTCTCATCATGGGTGTTTCTCTCTCTCCCTCTCCCTGCCTCTCTGACGTCAATAAAAATACATTTTTAAACAACAGCCCAAAAACAGCCTGCGTGAAATCGGGGAACTCTCTCCCCTGCAGCCCCCTCCCGGCTGTCCTCGGACCCGCCCTCCCTCCACACACACACACACACACACACACACACACACACACCCCGTCCAGCGAGAACACTGGTGACCCGCCCACTCCCCGTCAGGAGTGAAGCCACTGGCATCCAGTCCCCTCGCGCACACCCGGAGCCTGGGGCACGGCTGCAGAGAGCGGTGACCGAGATCGCCCACAGGCCGGGCCCGCCCGGGAGCGCAGTGGGGCCGCGCAGGACGGCGCTGGTCAGCGAGGAGCAGGCGGGACCCCGGCTCAGAGGTCCGGGAGCTGTCCCGCGCCCGGGGGTCAGGGCAGGCGGCCCCGGGCGGGTCTCCGGGCAGGGCTGGCGGAGGGGCAGGGGAGGCCTGGCGTGTCCTGATCCCAGGCTCTGCCCCCAGAGCCCCCAGGAGCCGGGAGTGAGCCACGGTCTCGGCCTTCGATGCGTCTCGGAGCCGCTGGGTCTCCGGGGTGGACGGGCGGGCGGGCGGGAGGCTGAGCCAGGAGCCGCCTGCGGCCAGTGGGGGCGGGCGGGCGGGTGGGCGGAGGCTGAGCTGAGGAGCCGGCCTGCGGCCGGTGGGGCGGGAGGGCGGGCGGGAGCTGAGCCGAGGAGCCGGCCTGCGGCCAGTGGGGCGGACGGGCAGGCAGGAGGCTGAGCTGAGCCGTCCGCGGCCGGTGGGGCGGGAGGGCGGGCGGGAGCTGAGCCGAGGAGCCGTCCTGCGGCCGGTGGGGCGGGAGGGCGGGCGGAGACTGAGCCAGGAGCCGCCTGCGGCCGGTGGGGGGGCTGCCCTCCGCCTGGCGCCGCCCGGTTATCTCTCTTCCGCGTCAGGAAACAGGCTGTGGCATCAGGAGGCGCCGGGCTGGAGCGTCCTCCGGTGACAGATGGCCCCCGGCCCCTGCCGGCCCCGGCCCTCTGCGCACACACGCCGCCCGGTGGCAGGCACTCTGTCATCCATCCCCGCTCACGCGTGACGGGGCCGGGGGCCAGGGCGCTGCGGGGAGCCGGGCGGAGGGCGGAGGGATGGAGGCGGGATCCTGGCTGAGGCACCGGCTCCCGGGCTCAGCAAGCACCGCCGTCCGGATCGCTCGGCTCAGGCCTTGATGTTCCACGTCCGGGATCGGCAAAGCACGGCTCGGGAGCCACAGGCGGCCCTCTGGCCCCTGAGTGCGGCTCTTCCACAAAGCACCACGGCCCTGGTGGGTCTGTGTGGAAGAAGTGGCGTCAGATGAAGTTTACGTTTAAAGAATGTGGCTCTCCAGAGACATGTCCGTCGTGGTGCTGTTGATGTTCGGCTCTGTGGACGGAGGAGTTTGCCGACCGCGGGCCCCGGTGACGCGGGGCTGCCAGTCCCAGGGGAGTCGGTCGCAGAGCCGGGCGGGGTGCTGAGCCGCGGCGGGCGGGCGGGCGGGCGGGCGGGCGGGCTGTCTGTCTGCCGGCGGAGGCTCCTGTCTCCGTGGCTCTGTGCGCCCGGTCTGTCGTTCCTGTTCTGTTGTTATCGAGCCCGTTTCCTCTTTGTTTCCTGTTTGTTTTGCTCCTTTAACCTGGCGGCTGAGTGGGTGTGGGTGCTGATTCTCCAGGGCCCTGTCTTTGCTGCAGGAAACAAAGAGTGGCCGGCGGAGGAGGTGGTGACAGGACAGGAGACCAGGCGGGACAGGCCGCCCTCTCCTCGTCTCCGGGTCCCCCTGCGAACACCTCGCTGCCAGGCTGCCTCTCAGCGCCGAGGGCCACGTGGCCACGTTCTGACGGCTCTTGCTCTCTCACTCTCTCTCTACTCCTCACCCAAGATATTCCCATTGATTTCAGAGAGAGCGGAGGAGAGGGAGCGAAAGACACATCGATGTCAGAGAAACACACCGATGGGTTGCCTCCTGCACAAGCCCTGACCACGTCCTGGATGGGGAGGAGCCTGCAGCGAGGTGCGTGCCCTTGGCCGGAATCGAACCCGGGACCCTTGGGGCCACAGGCCGACGCTCTGTCCACCGAGCCACCCCGGCCAGGGCCCACCTTGGCATTCTGACTGCCACTGGCCACTTCCTTCACGTCACCCGGGAGACGGAGGCCCGGTGAGAGTGCAGTGACTGCCATGGGCTGCGCAGCCATTCACCGCGCGATCTGTGACCTCTGCCCTGTGACCTCTGCCCTGGCAGGCGGCCCTTCGGGTCAGAGGCCTCCCCACAGGCCCAGGTGCCAGGTCCAGTTCCCATCGGGGCACGGACAAGAGGCAGCCGTAAAGGCATCACCAAGCAGAACAGCAAACCGGAGTGTCTCCCTTCTCCCTCCCTGAACTCCATCGGTGATTGGAAAACGGACCGAGTCACCGACCCTGGCCGCCGCCGTCCCTCGCCCGGCACCCCCGGCTGGGCGTGGCTCTGTCCTGCTCGGTCACTGCCTCTCCCGTCTCCGAAGGAACCGGGTCCTCCTCCTGGG